TAATAGTTTAAAGTTTCTCCAAAAGTCCACAGAGTACACAAAGATGGCTCATTTTGTTGACTCAGTCACATTACTCTGGGGTTTTCCAGGGATGTGGCTGTGTTCAGTAACATGTTCGAGCTCCAGTAAAATGTCTTATTTTGTCAAGTGAGGCTTTAATTTTCTTCTCTTAGACACCAGCATTCCCTTGAACTGACTTGTCGACTTGTGCTTCAGCTCTACGTCAGTTTTTCCCAGAATGAGGCTGAACAACGCTGAGAACAAGAGTGAACTTGTTGCCTTCAGCTGTGTGTTGAACACGAAGGTGGACAGTATTCTGTTGGTAAATAATGCTGAGCAAGATGTTTGACATTGTAGGAAAGAAGTGAGTCACACTCCTTTTTCAAAAATAAAATGGCTACTTGTCTTAAATGTTGCTCACAGACTTCTCTTTTGCAGAATTATTTTTCCAACTAACAGTACCAAACCCATGTGAAGCACATTGAGCTGCACTTCTTGAAAGGTGCTATACAATTTAAGTGTATTATTATTATTATTATAATATATTCAGCTTACCCAGATGAGTAAAGAAACCAGAAAACTTTCACATGTGAAAAGCTTGAACCAGTCATATTTCTTTAAAATTACTCTATATGATTCATTGTTGCTGAAAAGTTTTTGTTGATGAAATGTATCAATTGACGAACTGTCACATCCCTAATTGACAGTCATGAAGTCTGATGAAAGAAATGAGAAAGGCTTTTTATGAGTCATTTTAAGCATCTTAAGATGTTAAACATCAAAAACGGATTTGAGGACTTAATAAGATCATGAGGTGAATCTGCTTGTTTGCCAGTGGCTTTTCCCTATTTAACATTGGGAAATTAAAACCTGGATAGACACTGAATTTGATAAATATAGTGCTGGAGCTTTAAAGATTCCTACGAGCGGAGGTTTAGCTGATCAATCTGTGAATAAGGCTTGATTTGGAAACTAGGTTATAGAAGAACCAGTTGGAAAAACAGCAATGACTGGACAATAAATATGAACCCGTATGTACTTGTATGCTGCAAATATGACTTGGTAGAAGTAGTACCATTAAAAGGAAAATATGATCCACACTGGGGAGTGATCAGCTGAACCTGGGGAAACAATAACCCTGTATGAAGTGAAGTGAACGTGCCTGTTATGAGGCAGTGACAATTTCACTGGTCGACGTCATTCCTGGCTTTCTATTGGTCGGGGATTCGGGGAGTCATTTCACAAAAATCCAAGAGTGAAAGGCAGAAATCTGGGACCGGAAGCTTTGCGAGGACACATAAGCAGCCTCAGTGTGATGAGAAGAACTCAAACTGAAATACAGGACGTTTGTGCAGCAATGTTTTCTCGGAGTATGGAGCAGATTTGCCGAAATAATGCTTTCTTAAAGGCCCAGTGTGTAAGATTTAAGTGAAAGGGAACTATTGGCAGAAATTTAATGTAGAATAATTCTCATGATGTTTTCACTAGTTCATTTCATTTAAATTGTATGAATTGTAGTTTTCTTTACCCCAGAAAAGGTCCTTTATATTCAAATACTTTATATTGACATCGAGGGAACCCTCTCTACTGAGGCCGCCATGTTTTTTACATTAGTCCAGACTGGACAAACTAAACACCTTTTGAGTTTTAATGACAATTAAAGGCTACCACAGTTTCTTTTTCATGTTTGGAAGGAGAGGGTGAGGTGAGGGGTGTTCAGCTGCAACATGAAATTTCAACACTAGATATCACAAAATTCTACACACTGTACCTTCAAATGACTCAACGACTCTCTTGAATAAAGTTAGGAAAGAAGCTCCATGCTCGAAGAAGCAGGGCCTTGCTGAAAGCAGCACCATTGTCCTGGTGCCAGATAGGGTGTCGGAGGGCAGTGCCAGGGCAGGACGGCACAGGGAGTTCATCAGCAGACATTGTCCACAGCAGGGAAATGCTGTGTCAGCCCCCAACAAATGACTCTCTCTGTCTGAGGTTTCTGTGTTTGTGTTCGTCTGACTTTCTTTTTCACTGATTCTGCTCAATGATGCTAATGTGATTCATCAGTTCCCAGCATGCCCCTGTCTCTCGTCTTACATCGAGGAACAAATGGATCACTGAATACCTCACATTGATTTCTATTGTTTAGTCTCTTGTTGTTGTTGTTGTTGTTTATGGGCCTTCATTTCAAGATGAAATGTTTTTTCACTTTGTTGAAAATCTGATCTGACAGAGCAAAGTTCCCAGGGAGCCTGAATCAAAAAATAACAAAGGAACAAAGTTGAAAAGGAGCTGTCGGTATCACAGTGTAAGGAGGAACGGCAACTCTGTATTTCCAGAGAACCCCCCCCCCTGTCGGTGCTGTAACCTCAGTTTAACCGCTCCTCCTTTTTTACTCCAGTTGGATGAGGTTAGCACTTTCCCTTGAGGCTCTGGGTGGGAGAGAAAGGAAAGAGTCTGACATGTGTGGGGAAACTTTCTCGTCCTGTCCACTTTGAATTTAATTAGATTTGTTGCATTGTGTGAATTAATGAACAGTGAATGGCCTCTTTGGTTGGGAATCTGCTGTGTTCTCTTGTAATTGTTCCTTTATTCCGACAGTTTCCTTGTTTATTCTTGCTGGTAATCTCTGGTCCATTAGTGCAATAGTTAGTGTATTCCCTACAGGTGACCTTTGACCTATGCTGCCTGAGACTACCGTGACCCCTCTTTGAGCAGTAAGAGATGCTGTGATGTTGTTTGTGGTGTGGCAAACTGCTACTGGCAAACTTCTTGACCTCTTAACCCTGGAGTAGGACTTCACTCAGCCTGAAGTAGCCTCCTGACCTCCACTTATTCAGTTTTCATACCTTTTTCTCACCTGAAATATTTTCTAACAGTATTAAATCAGAGAGGACAGACCTGGTTTCTGACACACACAGACACAGTAGATTTAAAATTTTCAATTAAACAATTTTTACTAGATTTTATTTCTGAGATCAAAAGGACTTCTAAACAATAGTTAGTAGGACTGACTCTGTCAATTCATCTTTTATTGTAGAAAAATCCCATTTTGTGTCCCAGTCTGTGTTAAAATGTAAAATAGTGATGTTTAAAGTGGATAGTGCACCACTTCTTTTTTTCTTTTTTTTAAATGTCAGTTTCTGAGTTGCGTATTAATGTTTTCCAGTCATATGGAAATAAATGAGTTTAAATCATGGAACAATTGTTGCTGTTCTTCGGATGGACCGAGGCTTGTCTCATTCATTGGAATGAAGGATTACATCATCCCTGGAGCCGAGTGGAGTAACTCCCTGGTTCACCTCTCACACTGCGCTCCCTCCCTCCATTTATTTTCTCCTCCTCCCACTATAAACCCCTTTTATACCAGTCTTTCCCCACCTCCTTTCTGCTTGTCACTCGGCTGGCTGCTGAACAGGTCTACCTCCATCACTTCATATCACCGATTAACCCATTAACATTAGCTGATCTGGATCTTTAAAAAGGAACTGAACTGAAACTTAGTTGGTAAAAAATCTGTTCTGTGAGAGAAACAAAAAGGATTTTAATTTGAAAACATGAAACTTGAAGCTGTAGGTTTTTGTGGTAAATATATTTGACAGCACTCTTAAAATATTGTTTATAGCTCAATATGTAAATGAATTGATCAAATAGGACAAAACATACATGTCCAAACTCAGGTATTGTCTTATGACCTGAAAAGTATTAAAACAACAAAAATAAAACGGGTATAGAAAACCATCTTATCTTTTTTAAATCTCTGTATAGTTATTAAAAAATTGAGTGGGTTGACAATAATATCTATATCTATATCTATATATACTTTATATCAGTAGAGCTCATACCTCCACCAAGTCCTGTCCTATGAAACCACATTTAAGTCGGAGAACGAAAGAAAGGCCCTTGTCACAATCATGATCCGTCCTAAAAGTAAATGGGTTCTTTCCCTGTCCATGTCCCATCCTTCCACAAAGTTTCATGGAAATTTAGTATTTTTAAAAGTATTTTTTGCGTAATCCTGTCAACACAAATCAGATAAGGGTTGAAAACATGACCTCCATGGCGGAGATAACTCCAGACACACCCATGCCACTGCTCTTCCTGTGAGTAAAATGATGCAGAAATGTGTAAGGGTGTAAATCTGTCACTTTCATGCTGTGAGCAGGTTTAAGATGAATTATTTAATCCCTCAGTCCTGGTCGTCTCTCGTGGGATGAAATGAATGTGAACCTTGTTTGGAAGGCTTCTGTGTCTGTGGTCTTCAGTCTGTGCGTTCAGAGCTGCAGCTGTCCACTCGATGGGGCAGACAGAGCCGTACATCACCACAAAGTAGCCGGTGACGTTGGGGATATCTTTGGACAGAAGTGCACACACATGTATTTTCTTGTTTCGCATGTTTCAAATGTCAGATTTGGATACAAGATCCTCAGGGACAAGAATGGCTGCAGTGGTTAAACTTGCACGCATATCATCAACACATCTCCCGAGCAGGAAGGGAGGACGGCCTGCGTCCCGTTGCATCCTGTCTTAATATGCGTGGCTATCCAAAGCTGTTGCCCTGACCTGTTGATATGTATAGCCCTGGGCTCCTAACGGCCCACTGACTCAGGCAACAATAGAGCTCCACGACCTCTGGGTTATGTATAGAGCTGTACCATCAGCAGCAGTCTACAGAGAAAGAGCAAAATAGAAGGATGACAGTGCAGTGGGCCTGACATCATCTTGGTGTCTTATATTTTTAACTGCACGTGTTCACTTATCTGCCTGACCCTCTATGAATTCGTCTTTGCCACCATCTTGAATGACGTGCAGTGGGATTCTCTATTTTGCTGAAAGCTCAAATTATCTCTGTTTAACAATATTCAGGTACAGTCATCCCATTATTGCGATTAGCTAACAATTTTATCCTTATTAATCCTAAAGTCACCCATATAACAGTTGTACACAACACAATTTTGATAAAAACTTGGTTTTATATGTTTCTTGTGTATTGTTCCCTCTGACAGGCGTGATCAGCCAGTGGCAAGGTGAGCCAAAGGAGCGTGTCATCTCGCTGGTCCTCACCCATCTCCCACTGCTGAAACCTGGCAATGTTGAAGCTAAAGGCGAGTACATGCGCCTGCTGCCTCACATCCTGGCCCACACCATCGAGCATGGCCACCACCTGGAGGAGTCTCGCCAGCTCCTGTCCTACGCCCTCATCCATCCTGCCACCTCCTTGGAAGACCGCGCTGAGCTGGCACTCTGGCTCAACCACCTGGAGGAAAGGGCTGCTGCCCGGGGAGACTCACTGGAGAGGCCTCCTCCTTCTGGGCCACACCACCACCACCATCACCAGTCCACACCACCATCCACTCTCACCTCACCAGGATCCTCCTCCTCCACTAACACCTCTTCATCGAGCAACCTGTACTCGCTGCATCACCACCAACGCTACGGCTCGGACGACCGCCTCAATGGTTGGCAGAGCTCCAGGGATTCGGTGCTTGGAGGAGGGTGGCACCAGCAGCAGCCGGGCTGTGAGAATGGGCACCTGCTTCTTTACCCATCATCCTCTGTGCCGTCAACCATAAACACAGTTGGAACCGGTGGAGGTGGAAACACCAGTAAGTGAAATCCCATCTATCCCGTGTCTCTTGTGTTCATGCTGTGATGCAATACACAGGATCAGCATGCATGGTTGGTTCTTCAGTAGTGGGCACACAGTCAAGCACCAGATAGTGTAATGAGTTGAATAATGTGATAGTGTTTGTTAAATTACTGCAGTGACCTTTACACAATCTATTGATATTCCCTTTTTTTTAGAAAGCAACAGCATCTATGACTCTGGGCGACCACAGTATTTTATTTATAACTGCCTTATTATTACTAAACAATACACTTGTTTCCCTTACCCATACTTGAGGTGTCATGTGGATAGAGTGGTTGACACAGATGACAGTAGACTGATAAACATCCTGTTCTCCACTCAGGTCACTGCAGAATTATAGATGAGCCTTAAATTTAACTAGATCATCAAAGTTAGACATTAAGGGTTTTCACCAGATGCAAACATTCATCATCTGACTGAGCATCTGTGATTCTCCTGTAAATCAATCTTTACTGTTCCCTCATTAGGTTTTGAACTTGAAGATGGGATAGATCTTCCAAAATGTATTTGAAATTATGAAAAGAGATTTTTAACCGATCAAAACTAAAATGAAATACAAATGCCTCACTGCACATTAAGTAGAGCCAGATGGAGGCCGATTTCAACACTGATATTAGGGTGTAAAACAAACCCAAAAAATGTATATACATATATAGAAGGTATAAGTTTTTAAGATGTTGTTATCAAATCTTTATGGTAAAGAAATGTAATTGATTGATACTTTACATTTTAAAAACTTTAAACTTTATTATTAATAACTGTAAATAAAAGGAACACACAAATACAACCACAAATAATCATTTTGAATTAGAAATATAAAAGTTGCACATCTTTTCTGCATGGTTTATTCTTTATAATTTCAGTGCATATCAGCAAACATAAATGTTGATACCGATAAGTGTATGAAGGGCTCATCAATATTTCGATTGATTTTAATTAGCCCACTATTAATCGGTCGGGTTCAAACTTGAAGTGTGTATTTTGTCCATATCTCCTCCTGTCTATTTTCATTCCATCATCTTCAGTTCACACTGGACTGGACTGCTGCAGTGAAAATAGTAGAAAATTAGATGACCGATGTTGAATAATGATGTTAATATTATGAGTCTATAAAGACACTCTTAAGACACAAAGTACACTCCACACTTACCAAGCACACTAAATACACCCTGGGCACACTTAATACACTCAGTACACTGTAGTCAGACAACAACCTACAGAGCCACTACAGAGGCTGTATGAGGTGGGAGAAAACACACAGCGAGGGCAGGGCTGTTGAAATTGAACATAACTATGGTCAGAGCAGGATATTTCCAGACAAGAATGCAAGGGCTCTGTGTTTTTTTTCCTGCGAGATGAAAGAAACAGCTGAGGGTTTATAAATAAAGACTCATTTAAAGCCCTGCTTGCCGCTCCAAGAAAGATCCTCTTGTAGTTTTGACTGCAAGCAGCTTCCCTGCCGCATGAAAAAACAGGACTTCACAACCGATAAACTAGAGTTACCCCATCCAGCCGCCAGTAGCCACCACACTGGTTGACACGGTGAGCAGATGCTTTTCTTAACTAATCCAAGTGTTTAATAATTGATAAGCAACCCGGGAGTGATGTGTAGATATTTACTGGTCTGAAAAAGTCAGAGGAAGATGATAAACTATGTTTGTTTTTAAAAAAATCTCAATGCTGTACTTAATTCCCGTTGCTCAGAGTAAGCCACCAATTCGTCCGGTCACCCTCTCTACACCCTGCTTCTCTGTGTCATGATGATGATGAAGATGATGATTGCAGGAGTATAATTGTCCCACCACATCAACCTGTGTGCCACCGATAGAACATCCGGACGACCTCCCCACCCATACCCTCAGTCCAAGCCACAGCAGGACATACCACCCATCCTTTCCCTTGTAAGGCAGCCTTTGTGGGAGACTGTATTTAGGGAAAATGGCTAATATTTAGGGACTGGAACTTGTAATGTTAGCTGGGCACCTATTTTAAACGGGGCCCATGAAGTCCTATACATAGCGCCAACAGTAAGAGGACCACATATAGGAGGAGAGAGACCAGAGTATTGGTGGCAGCTCAACCCGTCAGAGCGGCGACACAAAAAGCTCTTTGGCTTTTCATTCTGTTTACCTCCTTCCACTGGAAAAAACTGTGATGCTAGAGCCGCATATACTGGGTTAAAGACATTGGGACATGAGTATTGACAATAACTTTGCTTTGGCCCCATCAGGACCCCATTTTATATACATCCTGAGCAGCACTGATTTTTATGGTAATGGAGAAAGAAAGAAGAAACGTTTATCACACAGATTTCTTAGCAGTGGATTTATTTATTTGCTGTTTGTACAAAACCATTGGAGAGAGTTCTACTTTATCCAAGAGGTGGTGTTTGGTATTTAGCTTTCGAGGTTGAGTATTTAAATCTACAAGCAAGTGAAGGAGAACCTTGTGTATTTCCTGTTTTGCAAATGCAGCCTCCTCCGTCCAGCTGCTTTAACTCACAAACAAATGCGTTACTATTTCACATCTGTGATACTTGAGCTCTGGAGATCTAAAGTTAGCCAGGGGATGAAAGAAAATGCAGAAATTTGACAATTATAGCTCTGTGCATCAAGAAGCACCGACTGATGCGTGGACGTAGAAGAAAATGAGTGTAAATCAAGTTTCTAAGACAAATCTTTGTCGTATTAATTTGAATCAACACTTTTCACGCTTGAAATGTCGGTGTCGGATGAGTTAGTATGCGGTTATAACTGACGAGGAGAACATTAAATTTATTGGCACAAAACATTTAATGCTTCAATGTATAAAATAGGTGAGTAATTAATCTTCCTCCATGTCAGACTCTGATTAAATATATGTATTAGATATGTGCTTTTAGACTTTTAACAGGAACTGTGAAATATTCCAGATGTGCATCTTATTTGGTTTATTATATCTATAATAAATGGTGCTAAAACATTTGATAGAATGTACTTTTCAGCATGTGAGGTGAGGGACAGGCAGATCAAATCATTACCATCAGTTAATAATGTGTTACTTTCATTAATAGTAATCCAGTATTTGAATGTATGCAGATATACTGTTTAGGAGAGATGAATTTTATTTGGGATAAAGGCTATCTTTAATCTTTACGTCAGTGTTGGTGTTATCATTTGAACAATATGTTTTTCAGCCATATGATTCCTACAGTCTTCGCCACGCTCTGTGTAACAGCCCGTACCTGACTCATATCGCCGTGTTCTTACAGTCCTGACGAGTGGAGGTGGCAGTCAGCAGCACAGTCCCCTGAAGCGCTCCGTGTCCCTAACGCCTCCCATGAGCGGCCCCAGCAACCAGCCTCTGGGCCACGTCTGGCTCTCCCAGGAGGACCTACGGACCGCCAGGGGCCCAGCCCCGGATCACGCGCCCCTCTCACCCCAGAGCAGCATTGCCTCCTCGGGAAGTGGAGGCAGTGAGCATCTGGAGGAGGCTGGTTTGGGAGGAGGTTCAGGTCTGCATCGCAGTTCCTTCCACGACGACGGCAGTGGCATGAGGGGTGAGTAAGAGAGACCGGTGTGATCAAACATTACTTTTCATATGAATAATAGAAAGCATAACTGTACCAGAGTCCGGTTCATACAGTATGAAATCTGAGATACATCACACAGGAGATGATACCGACTCTTTAGAGTTAATGACTGAAAGACTGACACATAATGGAAATGTGGATAAACACATCAGCTTTCAATAATCTGAAGTTTTAGTCTTAGATATGTGAAAATATCTAATAAGGGTAATTACGCTAATTCTGTTGTATTTTAAACAGGCCAGGGGAAAGATGAAGGCAGACAGTCCAGGTCCTGTTTTCAGTGTTTTTGAAACTGGTATTTCTTGCTGCATAGTGTTTGAAGTCACTGATGTAAGATTTATGAGGAATAGTTAACGTAGCTAACCTGTCCTGTAGTAACATTCTTCTCTATCAGACCTGAGTGATAGCAGAGACTTGACTAGTGCACTGGAGAAACCTACATGTCCGCCTGCTGCGTCTGTGTCTTAAAAGTATTCACTCGGAGGGTTTGTTAAGTTGTTGATCCAGTCGGAGCAGTTTGTCAGAGACCAGCACTGCTGACCCCGCTGACCTTACTCTGAGGCTATCACCGTCTACACAGGAGTTCAAACTATTATGTACTTCCTGTCTTTTTCTTTCACTGAGAAACAGGAAAGCAAAAGCAACATTTCTCACCAAAATCCCCAAGAGATAAAGCCGATGCTATCATTCATCTTTTAATTTCAGAGGAGAATGTTAACACCATTTTTCAATCGTTTGTCACTGCCAGAAAAAACTGGGTGTGAAGTATCTGATGATGGAATACGATCCTTGCATTATGTCACAGTGAACTGACTACGTGAATGTATCTGGGACAAATTATTTTTTTATTTCATTTCAAAACTGATTCCCATATGTTTTTGTGTCTTAAATCTGTTCGCTGTGTATAAATGTGTTTTTTGTTATCTCTCCCTGCTTGTATTTATATATGAAACTTTTTATTTCATTGCATCATCATTCATCTTGACCAGAACTCCCTGGCAGAAGAAATATTGTATCTCAATGGGACCTTTCTGGTTGAATAAAGGATAAATACATACAAAAAACTGTCTCATCGTGATCATGAAGTCTAGAGTTCTGCTTGTGTAACTGCTCTCCACATCAGGTGGTTTAGGTGGAGATGGAGGTAGAGATTCTGAAAGTGTGTCACAGTAGTGATTCCTCAAAAAACTAACTAATAACAAATCTTGTCAATAACAAAAATACTTTTTTACATTTACATTTGAAAATAAACTCAGTGTGTATTTGTTCTGTTTACTGTTATAAACCTGTTACCAACAAAACAACTGAAACAGCTTCACTCTAAACTACAAATTAATTCAAACATCACAGTGGGTCTTGTAATGTAATGTAATTTTTTCCTAACCTGTTAAACAGTGATATTAATGAAAATTCTCTTGTGCAAGATTATTTTATTTACATCAATACATTATTTTTTTCCTGTGTATGATATATTTGTATTGACAACAAAGATAAACAGTGTGGGTTGAACATTGACATCAGTCAATGAACTCAAGAACTCAAGCATTTTTCAATGTTGTTTTTACCTGAAATTCAATTGTGAAAAAATGTAGCTCGTAAAAATCTAACGTACTTGTTTGTTTGTTTGTGTGTGTGTGTGTGTGTGTGTGTGTACGTGTGTACGTGTGTACGTGTGTGCGCGTGTGCATCCTTGTGTTCTCTTCCCTACAGATGTCCCCTCGTGGCTGAAGAGTCTCCGTCTCCACAAATACGCCGCACTCTTTTCCACCATGACCTACGATGAGATGATGTCGTTGACTGAAGAGCAGCTGGAGGCGCAGGTTCATAAACACATAAATATACAAACTAACAAATAAACTTTATTTCAGTTCTCAATCAGTCTTGGAAAAATCACATTACAACACAACCTAGTTGTTACATTTCACTTTCTATTCAATTCACTGTCAAGTGACTAAAACAATTCATTGATAATTCAATATTTCATCTGAGGACTGGTCATTCTGGAGAACTGAAACAAGTCTCTTTATTTGTGTTGTATAAACTGTCCTCACAAGACTAGTTTTATCAAACTAATCAAAGTAATTGTGCAACTGGGTTTAGTCTGGTCAAGTTAAAAAGTTGATTGGGTTGAAATAAATGGGACAATAATTATCTGTTATTTAAAGATGCTTGGGAGACTATTCTGAAACAGAGGATACAGCTAAATTTAACACAGCTCAGTGGGAAGTTGTGTACTTCCTGCAGGTGCTTCTGAGTTTTTTCTGTGTCGGACTTAAACATAACAAAACCACGTTAAGACACGCTGACCTCCAACAAAAAGACGTTTCCTGTGTGACAAAGAATTCAATGTTCTGCTGCTGGTTTGATCTGTGTCTGGATTGTCATGATCAGTTCTTCATGGGACATGTAAGAAGTCATATTAGAATAAATAGATGAAGTAAAACAAAAAAAGTCAATAAAAGGGGAGATATACATATAATAGTAAAAATATTAACGGTGGTGAATGGAATAAAGTTTGCAACACAGATGCAATTAATCAAATTAATAAAATAAGGTAATATCTGTTAACCGCACTTTATCTGAAGGTAGGCTAAAGTAGAGAAGTTTGAACTCAACTTAAAGAATTTCAACTACTGGTATCAGCCCCTTTAGATCAGTATCCTGCCAGTCGCCATGGGGATGTTTGACTCAAATCTCTTTCCTCCAACAGAAAGTTACTAAAGGAGCCAGACACAAGATTGTCATCAGCATTCAGAAGCTTAAAGAGCGACAGAACCTACTGCGCAGCCTGGAAAAGGTCAGTGACTGTCCATCATGACTCCTCCTCTTCCACTTATTGTCTTGCCCGACCTGGAATTAAATTAGTTTGGAAGCCGTCTTGTTATTATTGTTATTGGTGATTGAGCTTTTCTAACCTTAGCGGACACCACCTCTCTCTTCCAGTGTGTGAGAGAACGAGTGAGAAGAGCGGCCACTCTCAGTTGGTGTTATGTGTTTGAGATGGCAGCTAAGAGAACACCTAATCCAGGAAGGAGATTTTTAGGCTCTGAATTTAAACCCATCCACCCATGACCCCCTCCATTCAGTCATTGAAGCAAGACAATGGCGCTCAAGGGCACTCCACAGGAGGGACTTCTTGGCTCGGCTAAATTCAGGCTTAACCTTTTCACCAACGCTTCATTTTAAAGTTTGTTATTGCGGCATTTGTAGGGCTCGGGGAAACACAACACCTGTTGCTTTGTATTTGGGGTTTGCACAGACTCATGTATAGCGCTGCTCTGTGATGGGTGGGAGACACAGTTGATACAGTTTAATGCAAGCGGACGCGAGTAGTGTTGGAAAACTAGACGTATGTATTTTTGGGATTATTTAAGTTTCTCTTCTATCACGTGGACAGAGATCCTTGCACATCTATTTGTCCGTCGCCCTTAATATTTAAGATGTAGGTCATAATCAACAGTTTCTTTTCTATGAATTCTAATAAAGTGACAATGGTGGTTAATACAAATAGCGCAAAAGTAGTCAGAATGTCATCATCATATTTCTCATCTACTTCTCCGACCTCTCTTTCATATCATTTACCACCAGGATGTGTTGGAAGGCAGTAACCTGCGCGCCCCGCTGCAGGAGCTGCACCAGATGATCATGACGCCTATCAAGGCTTTCAGTGGTGCCGAGGAGGCCTCCCTGCAGCGCCTCCTCCTGAGTCCTGAGGGCAAGAGCGCTGCACCTGGCTCCCACCTCACCGGGGGAGGCGGTGGGGAGGCCGAGTCGGGGACAAGCGTCATCGCAGAGGGGGATTTACCTGGCCAGTTCACACGCGTGATGGGAAAAGGTGGGCCGCACACATTGGTACTCGGCACGGGATTGTTTTTATGGACTGAGAAAGGTTTTTTAACATCTTCCGCTCCTGTTCCGTTTCCAGTTTGTACCCAGCTACTGGTGTCAAGGTCAGACGAGGACAACATCAGCTCCTACCTACAGCTCATTGACAAGTGCCTTATCCATGAGGTACACACTCGCCGCGGAAAACACAAACATTTAATTTCAAATTTAAGAAATGAATAAAACCTCAGGAACAGACAATATAAGACATTAGATCATAGATATACTGTAAATAAATGGTAAAAACAATAGCATGGTTGTCGATAAGTAGCCGATTAAAATAATCTTTTCTTTAATGTTTCCTTTTTCACTTCTGTCTGATTTGTATTTTAATGTCTACTTCAACACAATGTGGGAAAAGATAACTGTTACAGGGCTTAAAAAGTCCAATTCTTACTTTATCTTCTATTCAATAACCTTTCTGTGATTTAATGTCAGCATAGATTGTAAAGGCTCCTCCTCAAATACATGTATATTCAGTCATTCAAACCGTTCTCTGTCTCTGTGGATATCTGAGTGTCAGATAAATGTCAGTATCATTTCTAACTAATGTGAATCAAAGTTTTAGTTGACTGAGTCATTCGTTCTGAAAACCCTGAGACTTACCGCCCATCAGTCACGCTTCATTTCATCCCTGATTCATTCATACTCCCGGTTTACTCCGTCCGCTCTCTATCAGTCCTTCACCGAGACGCAGAAGAAGAGGCTGTTGTCATGGAAACAACAGGTCCAGAGGCTGTTCCGGTCCATTCCCAGGAAAACCCTTCTCGACATAGCAGGGTACCGACCGCAGAGAAGGTACATGCACAGATAACACTCATATACTATAATTTGACTATTCTATTGTCTGTAATTTAAAAAATTTAAATCAAAGAAACCTAAACTTGATTAAAACAACCAGGTGTTAAAGGTCCAGTGTGTAAGATATAGGTGAAAAAGAACTATCGGCAGATATTTAATGTAGAATAATCCTCATGAGGTTTTCACTAGTTCATTTCATCTAAATTGTGTGAATTGTAGTTTTCGTTACCCCAGAAAAGGCCCTTTATATTCAAATACTTTATGTTTACATCGAGGGGACCCTCTCTACGGAGGCCGCCATGTTTTTTACATTAGTTCAGACTGGACAAACTAAACACCTTTTGAGACAACTGAAGCTGCCACAGGTTCTTTTTCACTTTTGGAAGGGGAGGGTGAGGTGAGGGGTGTTCAGCTGCATCATGCAATTTCATCACTAGATATCACAAAATTTTACTCACTGTACCTTTAAGATGTGAACGAGGAGAAATGTCAGAAATGAATTTGAGCTCATGCTTTTTCTGTTCAGAGGATCAACATGTGGAACTTCTTACTCACAGAACTGAAAATAGATCATGAATGAGATCGTTTTTAACTCTAAAAAGGAATCAGTTTTTAAAGATGGATCAGTTATTCAGTTATTATCTGTTGCTTTGTTTTATCATCATATTTATTTTTTCTGTTCTGTATGTATAATGTTATTCATATCATATTATCACATTAAAGAGGTATTATTTCCTTGCCTTTTTTTTCTGCTGCAGCCGTTTTGGTCAGTCAAACTCTCTCCCCACCGCTGGCTGTGTTGGGGGCAGCGTGTCGGTCAGGAGGAGCCTTCGCCAGTTCCAGATGCCCTCCAGGAGTTTGCCAGTTGCCAGGCTGGGCATGTTGGGAAGCGGGGGGCTGTTGGGACCCACACCTCGCAGCTCCAGCAGCACACCAACTGGTCCCAAGCAGGGGAGACAGGTGAGTCAAAGCAGCAAGATGAGATGAGAGCAAACCAACAGGGAGATGGATTGAAGGGGGAGGTCGCAGGGTGTTTTCAAACCTAAAAGTCTGAACCAAGCTTTGTGTCTTTGGTACATTGTTGACATTTGTTCTGGTTACTTTTGGTTTCACATTGTAATTTAGGGAACGCACTAAAGAAGTTTGCATAGCCAAGAAAGTCTGCAGTGTCTCTTGCTCTGACATTTGCTCTCACACGTGCACCTCCTCCGGGAAGATACGGAGGAACCACAGAGTTCAGAGCCTGTCTGAAAGCAGCATATGACATACTTACGTCCTGTTGTCCTCAAGTGTCTGAGCTGTGTTGTCTCACTGCAAATGATCCACACCAGAGATCAGCCGGTCTGACAACATTTGGGTCCATTGATCTGGACAGTGGACCAAGGCACCTGTTAATTTAGTTTGGTTACTCATTTACTTTACATATTTCATTACAACATTCATTCTTTATGATATAAACTATTAGAAAATGGAAAAAAATAACCCTCACTATTTCCCAGACATATAATAATGGTCCAAACTTCAAAAACAGCAGGAGAGAAGCAGCAAATGTTTTCAAAGAAACTGCACAAGACAAATCAATCAATCAAGTGACTATTCAGCCCTAAACTGTTCAAATATGCATCGTGTGGTTCAGCAAACTTGTTTTACATGCTCAGCCCTTTTTATATTTTGTGCGGTATCACTTATGTTCTAACTGGTCAGTGAGGTCAGATGATGGGTACTTAAGAATGTTTTCTAAAAGGCCTGTGAATTAATCCAGTTCAGAAAAGCTAGAGCTGAATTCATGCTGTTGTAATTTGTGTGTGTAGTGACTGAAATGCTGATGTTCGTGACTGTACAAAGGAACATTTTGAAATGTGTGTAATTAATACATTTCAGGATGTTTACAATAACCTGAGCAGCAGAATTCCTTCTTCAGCACGTATTCTTCCTGAAATACACTTTTTATTCCATTGCAAAAAAATGTGGGGTGAGAAAGAGGAGCAGCAGTGGTGTTTGGCGAATGAAGCGAGGTGGATGGAACTCGTAGGCAGGTCACCCCACATACCAGAGGCCCTGCGTCAGTGCTGAACACTGAAACAGGAGGAGCTGTGGAGCTGTTTCAGGCCCATCCTGGCACACTTTGGTCTGCGCTGACCCAGTTCATAGTCAACCTCTCTCTCCCCTCTCTCTCCCTCCCTTTCTTTCTCATCATTTACAATGGGAGGAAATACCTCAGTTCCTGCTCATCATGCTGGACCTTCTTGTGTGGGACTGGAGTGTGGATGTGTAGTGAGGGAGGGAGGGAGGGAGGGAAATATGTGAGTCATAGTTTGGGAGAGGTAGCTGTGGTGTTGGATGAGGAGGGGCAATGAGAGAGAGTTTGTATGTGTATGTATGAGTGAGAGAGAGCCAGTCAGAGGCAGTGAGAACAGTGCACAGGCATTTCCTGTTTTTCCCTGGCCCACGGCACTGGAGAGCCGTGAGGGGGGGCTGCACGGAGGGAGAGAGAACGAGGAGGGGGATGTGGTAGTGGCGTTGGGGGTATAATAGGCAGGTTACAGTGAGGAATTCATGTGGTGAGCGTCTGAGACTGTCATTAGGTGTGGACCAGACATCCAGACAGGAACGTGGGGAGGGGGTGAAAATGTTGACGAAGACTTGGCCACAATCAAACACCAACTTTTAGATCAGTGAAAGTTTCAACAGTGAACGATCAGTAAAAAGCAGCAACTTGGGGAAGGAGCATGAAGTTTGTACTGTAAATAAAAATGGACGCATCTCCACTTCCTGCTGTTGTACATTATGAAGCTGTTGTGCAAAGTTTTGCTACCTTTAATTTTGGTCCATGTCCAGAGTTTATGATCCATACTGCAGCCGGTCACCAGGGGGCGATCAAGATGGTTTGGCTTCGCCTTAACCACGACAGTAACGTTACAGAAGTGTCAGCCTGTTCAAGTTGATTTAATGTCTTGTTTGAAATCTTCTCCTCAGGGTCTGTGGTTTGCCAACCCCGGAGGAAGTAATAGCATGCCCAGCCGGACCCACAGCTCTGTGCAGAGGACCCGCTCCCTGCCGGTTCACACCACGCCACAAACCATGGTCATGTTCCAACAAGCTGGTGAGAAACTCAAACAACTCCACAGTCACAGTGATATCCCAGACTGAACTTATATTTATATAATTTCAGACTGTCTTTTATAACCCTTTAAATTCTGTAAAGTTGCATCTGAAAGGGAACAGTATTGACATATGCATGTACATGCAGTATTTGCTGAAAAAAACATCCAGTGGATACTCTCAACTTATCAAGATGAAAACACAATTTTAACAAGAGAATAGTGAATTTTTTGTTTCATATCGCACAAATAACTGCTCAGTCATTGGCTCATACGACTTGACAGTGTTGGTCTTGATAGATAAGTAGCTGAGCAAAAATACAATTAAATGTATTCTAAGTGCTCCTGGTTGTTGGGATCTCTTTTTTATTCCTGACAACTTTTGAAAGAGCCTTTCTGACTTGAGCTACCGTGTTGACACCTCCTCTACACCCCCAGTCTGGTGTCGCTCTGACAGGCCTCGCTCACACTGTCCACAGAGGCTCATGTAAACATCAGTGAAAGGTAGAGTGACCTGTAGTAACCTCTGCTGAGTGGAGTTTGTCCCATAGAAACAGTGGACAGGAGTAGGACAAGGGAGGACTCCCTCTGCCCACACACACACAGACACAGACACACACACACACACCAGAAGTGTCTCTTTTTAGAATGAGGAAGAGGAAAAACTAATTTAAAAGCGTCAGAGAGTAGCGAGGTTACGTGGAGCGAGGGTGTGAGAGAGGAAGAGATGGAGGGGAGGAAAGAGTCCGAGGACCCTCACAATGAGGCTCTTTGTGCAGCGAGGACGGGGCTCCCTGGCCCACTTTCCTTCCCTTCCTCCTCTCCTTCACACTCCCTTTTCTTAACCCCCCCCCCTCTTTCTCTCCCTTCTCTCAGTCCTGACAACTCTGCAGAGTCATGCACACATAGCTGTCACTGCATCAAGTGTGGCTGGAGCTGGGTCTCGGCCAGCGTAACTTATTTGAAAAGCTATACGCCCCATGAACCCTCACGCCCCCCCACACCCTCACTGTACACACAGTATGTGCGCTCTGTCTCGCTCTTTCTCTATCTCAGCTGATGGATAATGGCTAATTAAGTGCAAGATGAGGGGATGAAGGAACAAGTGTGTCCGTTTTTTCCACCTGTGTGCGTTTGGGGGGTGGGGGGGGGCTTAAGTCTATAAATAGCTGAGTGTGGACCACTGTGCCTAACTCAGCTTGTCTCTCTGGCCACAAGGGATTTTCACTGCCCAGCATGTATTGAAGACTCAGCTCAGGACTACATGACTCGAAGGGGTTGCTAGGCTTCACCAAATATAACACACACACACATACACACACCCCTCCAGCCTCAACCCATCTGCCAAACAGCCTCCACCCTCCACCCTGCTCACAGCTGAAGCTAAGATAGCCAACTAGCACCAAGTTGAATGAATGTTATTGTGGGCATGGAGGTGGCTCAGAGAGAACCAGGGGAGTAATCAGTGCAGCTGATGACTGTTAGCTGATTACTGCTCAGGTTTAAAAGGCAGCAGAAAGAGCTGCCACAGGGAGGAGAGACTCAAAGGAGACACATGAGGAGAACCTCATGAGGGACACTAGGGACACAGAAAAAGAGACTGAGAATGGAGCTGAGCTGCCACATCAGCAGAAACGGCCGGCCACTTTACGTTTAATTTTTTCAATTTATGCAGACGGATAATCTCTGGCTGTTGTGGGGAGACCCGGTAGCATTGGCTATTGCCACAGTGGTGAACATTTATAAATAATATTATATATATGTCACTGTGGAATCAGGATATCTGATTATTCATTCATCCTGATGCTCAGGGATGTGATGCTTCTTTAATTACTGATTACTCTGCTAATTGTTTTCTCGACTGATCAATCAATCGTTCAGTCCAAAGATCCAGTCTAAGTCCTTTACACACATATACACAGAAGACTGAAGACACCGTGTCTGTGTTCCAGCAGCACAGTGTCCCGGTGCTGGAGTTAACACTGTGTTATAATCTGATTATCGAGGCCGTGCTCTGGTCAAGTGGACGACATTGTCCTGGTGGATTAGTTGCTGATCAAAAAAAATGTCTTGTTCTTTTCCAGCTCATTGATGGTGATTTATTAACAGGAGGAACACATTACCTCTCTTTAAATTTAACTAAAGGCCTCTTTTAATTTCAAATTAATCATTTGATTCAAATATCGTTCTGAGTCATTATTCACATCATCTGTTTATATTTGTTGTTTTTTTTCCTCTACAGATCTTCAGTTACCTGTGACAGAGCCTGACATCAACAATCGCCTTGAGTCTCTGTGTCTGAGTATGACAGAGCACGCCTTGGGAGGTAACACAGTTTATAACTGATCATAAATATTTAACCATAATTAAACCACAATATGTAAAATACAGCTGCTCAGGAGATGGAGCCGATGACATGTGATGCTTCCAAACAAACGAACAAACACCAACAGGCTTTATGTTATTCAGGATGTTTAAGTGACTCACAGAGAAGACACAACATGTCAGAGAACAGCCTCTACAGAGCAGCTGTATCTCCTTTACTTCCTGGCTGCGATGCCATTGGTTGAGTTTAATACCATTTGGTGTTTTTCATTCCTTCATTGTGTCGACAGGAATGAAAAACAGGAGATAAAACCAAAACAAAAGTAAAACGCTGCATGTCCATGTCATCGCTGATCAGTGTCATTCAGCTGATGTGATGTGAAATTATCATGTAAAAAAAAAAATGGGTACGCACAAAGTGAACAATGAATTACATTTCTTATTATTTGAAAGCTGCGTCAGTGCAGAAACTAAAGCCTGTAAACTGAGTCCAAGCCACAAAGTTTATTCAAAAACATGAAATGTTCGGATCCCAGCTGGATCTTCATAAGGTCAAAATGCTCAGAGCGTAACAACAAACGGTATCTGTGTCTGTCCTGCGCCAAAACCTTGTGTGTGCTGGAAAACTGACAATGGTGAGCTGTCAACACTCGGCTGTGCTGCAACTGCATATTCAGCAGCATGTTAAATATGATGAGTGATGTTTATTCTTCCATTTTCATGTGCGTTTGAGAATATACCCTCTTTTTCTTCTGATTTTGTTTTCAAAAAGTATTTAATCAGGGTGGACTGATCTCCATGTTCTTATTAAAGCAGCATCTGAGGACAAGGGACAGGATTTCGGGGCCAGAAGCGTTCTGGTTTCCCAATTCTAGTTTGACCAATCACGTTTGAGCTGGCTTTGGCTGCAAAATGCATTGGCTATCAGCTTTTTTAATTTATCTGCATTCATAAGCAGATAGATGTTAATGGAGATTCGCCAAAATTTAGTCTGGGCCTCAGACACCTACACAAAGTAAATCACTGTTTTGTGCTTTGTGTGGAGAAATGTTGGTGTGATAAATGAAACTAGTCTATAGGAGTCTTGGCCCAGATATTTACACCAGATGCCCTTAAAAATTGGCCGTTTCCCCCAGAGGCTAATTCGTCATCAGATGAGAGCTGATTGGCTCTGAGATTGAGGGCGGGTGTTCCTAGTGTGTGACTCACACACACTGGAGAATTGAACCCAAATATTTCCTTTAAACATTAGTCAGAGCCAGACAAATATGGATTTGGGGGGGAACAAGTGATAAATCTGTCAGGGTCTAGTTCTTATGAGGTTTATTGTTGTTCAGGTTTTAGAACATCACCCAAGTTGTTGTTACCGTACAGATAGCAAACAAGGAACCAGAATCCTGTGTAGTGTAGATGCTGACAATATTTTTAATTGTTTTTATTTGTGTTATCTAGGTTTCTTGTATCTGTGGTATGATGCTGACGCTTTCACTCAGGCTTCTGTCGGTAGAGCTTCTGTTGGGTCTGACTCACCAGGACTTCTGTGTTATGTTTTAAAGCCAAAACTCCAAATGTGTCAAAAAGTCCAATCAGTCCATCAGTGAGTGAGTCATGTTCATGCTCCGTCACTTTACCCGATCTTAACACTGATCTTACGACTGCCTGGCCCATTCAAAGCCCCACTCAATTATCCTGTCGTGTGAGCAGATTTAAGTCTGGGGATTCAGGCCCATCGATAACTCCAGACATGTTGGAGCCCAGCGATGGTTTCTCAGATGCGTTTGATTTGTGTCTGGCCGAGCGGGGCCGAAACTCGCCAAGTTTCGGATTTGACAATGATTCTGGCAACGGTTGAGGTGAGTTCAGCTCGGGAGGGAGATAAAATCCGGAAAAGTCAGAGGAAAGTTGGGTTTAACAGCCTTTCATCTGCAGTTATGATTTATATCATCAGATATGACATCATATTCAAAACAGACTGTTGAAACTTAAGTTAAATTAATTTAAATTTAAGTTTTTCATTTACATTATCTGCTAATAATCTTGCATGAAAACAAGCAGCGAATGACATAGCAGCTGTTTGTTGTCTTCGCATTTCACAAGAGAGAAAACCTTGTTTATGATGCCTCAGCATATTCCTGGTGCTCATGTTTACGTTGACCAGGGTCAGTCTGGTTTCTGACGTGAAACCTAAATTCTCTTTTATTCTTTTTGTTTATTTTTTTCCATCCAAGCTGACATTCTAAACCTTCATAACTTGGTAGATGATGTGTAGTCAGTAACTGATCTCAGACATCTGATTGTTATTAGATCTATTTTTAAGAAAGTTGACTTCATCAGACTCAATAAGCCAGACTTGTCCACTTACTGCCGTCCTGGCATTTAGTATGGATTACAAATATTTGAAAAATGAGTTAAAGTACTTGTTAACTTGTAAATAACAGACACACTTTTAAGTCAGTCGGTGTCGTAATATAGTCGACATACTTAAGTTAAGTCAGTCAGTTGTTGGGCTGGTTTTTGCAGGATTTCCACATCTACAGTGAATTTTTAGTCGAGTTTAAGTTAGTGCCAATTTCCCCTTTTCCCAAAACTCTGCTGAGGTGCAGACAGAGGGCCTCAGTGCTCGCCACGGAAAGATGGACAAGTGCTGCTTTGTGTGTGTGAGTGTGTGCGTGTGCGCTTTAACTTCATCACATGATCAGAGCTTTGCCTATTTTTTTCTCATGTATGACAACATAATTTTGTCACTAAATCCAAACCGGCTCCAGGAAATTTCTTCCTAAATCTCAAAAGAGGATTTCTCAAGAAGGATGTGGACATTAAGTCCTAGTGTAACAACTTTACCAGCCTCTGGACTGACGCTCATATGAACCTGTATATTTTGTCATAAAGTACATGAATGAATTAATGCAGGTCTCAAGTTCAACAACCAACTTAAAATCATTCAGCTCAGCTCAATACTGCAGCTTCAATCTTCCAATCGTTACTGAGTCTTTGGCGCAAGATGGCAGCGTTAGTGGAAATGGAAACACGTCGTTCGTCTTTGTTTACAGTTTATGGTGGTAAACAGTCTTTAACTGGTCTATTCACGCCTGACTCAGAATCCCACATCATGACAGCGTATTTAACAACAGCTCTCAGTGACACAAACATGACCTTCCAGTTTCTTAACGATTTATTTTTATTGTTAGTGGAATAAAAATGTCCACCAGTGTGTAGCCTGATAACATTCCCCCCGCTCAGCCGCACCAGAGGTAGCAGCTGACAGACTGTTGTTTTCCTGTGAAAGGCTCTATCAGTATTTTGACAGATGTGTTGTTCTCTTACCACGATAGTGTGGCCCCTGACCCCTCACTGTTACTCATTCTCTACAAACAGCTCACGGCACAGTTAGGTCACTACCACGCTTCAAATCAGATCAACCTTTTATCAAACGTTGCCGAGAATAAATACTAGAACACGTTCAAAAGATTGCACAGTCATTGTTTATATAATAATTAAAGTACTGTAGCATAGATATGTTCCAAATACACAAAGGCGATAAAAGATAAATGTTGCTCTGACAGCTAATTAGGCTCTTGGTGTAGTTTTAAAGCGAGCTCATGTTATCAACATTGGAAAATCTTCTGTTCAGGGTCACAGCCAAGCTAAAGCCTGTCCCAGCATGCACCAGATGAAAGACTGAGTATTAAGATTGACGTAGACTCAAGGTCCAGAAAGTGAAGCCAAAGCTCAAGTGCCTGAAACCTGTGTTCTCTGTCATGACCAGCAGGAGTTTATGTGTCAATCTCAGTTTCAAGTCTTCTTCCATACAGACGATTTTCTCTGACGTAGATACCATGTGATTGGCAGCTACTTCTGTACAATGGGTGTAGGTGGGCTCTGAGTCAGGCTCCACCCCCTGCTCCTCCAAATGTGGTTACTTCTGGTTTGACAAAAAACAAGATGGCGCTGTACAGACTGTCAAATCGCAGGCCTCAAAATGGCAGCTCACAAACCAGCGAATCAGTTTCATCTTCATCAGGACCTTTGATTCTGCAGGATGTCCTCAGTGTGGTAAAGTCTTCATAAACTCTCTGCTTCTCCCCAGACGGTGCTGACCGCACATCAACAATATGAAATGAGGACCTGAGTGAGAGCAGCAGGACGCCGCAGGTTTACGAGGCTCTCTCATGATAAGTCACGTCGAGGTCACCAGCCCTCCCCTCCCCTCCCTGTGGCCAATGGTAGAGCTCAACCAAAGGACCGGGCGGGATCCAGGAAACACAAGCGAGCCGATCATCACACGGCGAACACAAGCTATCACATTGGCACTGTCCATCGGGTTGGAAAACAAAAAACACACCTCCTGCTCCGCTCGCAGTCACATGCATCAACGGCCTGGACCGTGCGTGTGTGCAGCCACCCCACCCCACCCCCCTCACCTGGGGAGTCCAGAGGCAGCGCTGCAGTCCAGTCAGCCGCAGCAGAAGGGAGATGCTGGCCTGTGGATCAGGGCCCAGTGAGACTGAGTCCCCTTCCCTACATGACACCTTCTGGTCCCTGCACATTGACCACAGCTTGTGGCATCTTTCAAATCCATAACAGTACCTCAGACCCAGAAACAAGAGCAGACACGCGGAGCTACAAGAACGCAGAAGGAAGTTTGGGATTTCCAGCGAGGACAGAAAGTCCCGGGTGGTTTTCGAGGCCTATTGCTCAGCGTTGGGTGGCAAAAAAAAAAAAAATCATTTATTTTTGTTGTATGTATTTATTGTTTACATAATGATGCTACTTTCAAAGGGTACAGAAACATGTATGACTTTCATTATGACTTGTGTAATATTCTGTAAAGCCTCGGCCGTGTACCACCTTCACGTCCCACAAGTAGCCGTTACGCTAGTTTACAACCAACATGCTTTTTCTTTATTTTATCAGCCAAGATCAAAGAGACGATGACTCGAGGGGGGTGAGAAGGAAGGAAGGAGAGCAGATGTGAGATAAGAGGGATGAGAGGAAGAAGGTGAGGAGGAGAAAGACAAAGAACGTAGAAGAAGAAAGAATCACACTGAGGTGAAGGTGGAAAGGGAAGCGGATGTTTCAGAGGAGAAAGACGTCAGAGGCAGGACCTTTGATTGGCTGTAGGTGACGGAGGAAGATGGTGTCATGTGTAATCATGTTGTGAGTTGCAGGAGGAGGTCAAGTTGCATATTATGTATCCGCAGCATGTGCTGTATGAACTCTGTGAATTCAGAGCCTTGTGAAAACGTTTTCAGAGACGTTAGTGGGAGATTTTGAGGCGGCGGCCGTATCGTCAGTGGGATCTGTCTGCATGTCAGGATGCTGGGTTCAGTTATTTCTAAAAGGTGAAATGCTTAAGCTGCATGTGCCAGCTGAATGTCTTTCTCAGAAGATTGTGAAATGTGTGAAGCGGGAAAACAAGAACAGGAGGTCAATTTGGTTTCCACGCAGACCGTGTTGCCGAGCCGATTGCAACACTAGAGAAGTGACACACTGTCAATCCATGAAGGGAGGTTTTCCCAGAGATTGTCTCGTTAGTGCTGACTTCCACCTGCTGGCTGAACGCAGTCACGGCAGCACAGATGTGCATGGACACGCAGGCACTGTAAGATATCAGAGCGAGTTCAGTCTAGTCCGCTCACAGATCGTCTGTTCTGTCAGTACAAGCCTACATGGAATATATATTTTCTTTTTTTAGATTCTGAATCTCATGGTTATTCTGTGTCTTAATATTTATCCTCAGTTTATTGTGTATGGAAAACAGACTTTATACGAATAGGTTTATATTGAAATAAGCTGGTTAGGAATCTCCTCTCTGTGCCACACAGAGACTGACCCCGAGTCAGGAGTCTCATTGAGGGTTATTGATGATGATTATTATTATTATGGTTTAGTTTCTTCATTAGTTTGTTGCAATTCAATAGTACTTTCTTTGTATCCTGCACTTGATAATGTGATAACACTAAAATCCAAAGGTTCAAAGCTCAAGTAACAGTTTCGTGCTTCAGAGTCAGATGGAGCGGAGTGGATCGAAGAGACGAGCTCGACTGTCGCTCTGATAGTGGAAAGGAAAGACAGAAGTGGAGCGGTTGAATCACAAAAGGTGGCGATGTTTGATCCCCCCAGCAGAAACCTGAATTGATTTCTGTCTGTCTGTCGATAAATACTCAGCCTGAGCCGATTCACTCACAGTTTAAAGACTAAGTTAAAGTTTGTGCATGTTTTAATTCACCTGACAAAAACCCATCCATGTTCTTATGGTGTTGAAAGATTAAACCTTTCATAGGCTTGAAAACTTCATAACAAAGTTAATCCATTAGGTGAATATTGTTTAAGTCAGCTCAGGTCAGATTTGTGCTTTAAAATCTTCAGGAACAGCAGCACATGTATATATGAAAATATAAAAAGTGCAAAGATATAATCTAAGTCTATGCAAGAGAAAAACATTTATCATTTAWCAATTGATAATACAATTAGCTGCTGCTTCATTTTCCTTGCAGCTCCAGTGCAGGTTTTTATTTCTAATCTGCACCTTTAGTTAAATTACCACAATAATAAATTGGACAAAATGATGGATCAAGTTTTTCACACGTTACCAACGAGTTTGGGAAAATGTAAAACGGTATCGTTTACTTTAAATAACCAGCAGTGATGCGTTCAGTGTGTGACCTGGTCATAGGAGATAAAACATGCAGAAGCTATTCACTGGTTTCGTCGTCTCTGTGTTTTTGTGTTTCTCTCTCGTCTCTCACGGTAGATCGGACGTCACCCGTACGTTTGTGAACGAACATGAAGATTCCACCAAAGCACGAATGTGACGCGAACACGTTTTAATCCTGAAACTGACATTGTTTTTTTCTGATGCTCTTCAGCGTCATGATCTCATCACACTCAGACTGTTTAAGTCACAGCCACATGAATCAGTACTTAAATACAATTATTTATTCTTTTTTTTTTTTCATAATTTTTGCAGAGGTGATACTTTTACTGATTTAGGTGTATTATTATTTAAAGTACCATATGTATTAACATGTTATGGCTGGTGACCATACGTACATCTCAAATATTAACATAGTTATTGTTGACTTCTCTCTTTTTGTTTTGTTGCCGTTGTTGATCTATAACCATGTTTGTATCTATCGGTGTCATGTTGAGGTTTTGTTGTGTGAACTTCGGTGTTGGAGCGCAGCTGTCGACTCACATCAGACGAGCTGTCAGCAAAAGAAATAACAGGAGCAGTGTGTTATTGTTGTTGTTGTTGTTGTTGTAGTCTGTAGCAGGCCAGGAAGTAGACGGGTCCACTCGGGGCCCTCGTAGACTAGGATGTGAGATCTGGAGTCTGAACTCGGTGCTGTGGACATATTATTATTCACTTTAAGACTTTCAGTGGGAGACGAGTGTTGGTGTCCAGATGTGTTACTTTAACAAGTATGATCGGCTTTATTCTGTATTTTTCTAATTGTGAACAAATCCCATGAAAAAGACAAATTCAACAAAGTGTTCGTCCTTCTCATCACTCAGTGTTTTTATATCGTGTTATTTTAGTGAGTATTTCTGACGCCAGAACAAATGTGTGTTTGTTTCCAACAGTGAAAATGAACTACAGTGTATGAATGTACATGACATGAGTGTTTTTAACAGACACACACTCACACACACACTCAGTACTTGTTAATTGATTCATTGGTGATTTCTGTCTTTTCATGGGATTTGTAGATAGAAAGAAAAGTGCAGAAAATCACCTCACGCAGCCTTTAAATGTTTTACATCACCTTTTCAAATGAACCTGCAGTCGTTCAGTAAGAAACATAATCCGAGGGATTATTGAACCTGTATTATTTTTATTAACTTTCATATCTCTTCATTTTTTGAGTAAAACAAAAAAACAACATGATGCAAAGTTCAGGAGATTGAATTCAGTTTTCTCGTCTGTGCCACGTTTTAAGGAACTAGCGACAGTGTTTAAATGGTTTATGTGATTATTTTTCTGGATGAAGTAACAGAGCAAAGTGACATGTTTTGTATTTTAGAGTTAAAATCGACACCTCTGGTTTCCTGCAGCAGCTCTGGGTCAAAGAGACGTCTGAGCCCGGAGCGGGACAGTTTCAGCTCCGAGGTCTGGATCATTACGTGTCTCAAACCAAATGCTTTATTTTTTATTTTTTCTCTGAATGCATATCAGCTCTGTGGGTGTCCAGGAAAGCTTCTGCCGCTGTGCACTCTGCAGTATTCCAAAAAAACATGTAATGTACTTTAAGTCAAGACATATATGCTGTTTTGTATCTTTTGTTGTCGTCATAGATTCTGCAGTTTATTCAGTTTATGTCGATGTGGAATGCCAAGAGTTTCTTTTTGTTTTGTTTTGTTTTGTAAATTCAGCAGCAACCGTTACCGCTTGACTGTGCTCCTTTACTTCATTTAGTTTTATTCTATCAAAGAGCCGATGTCCTGTATTGACTGCAGGCTTACGTATATATTTGACAAAAGAATATTGTATGTTTAATAATAAAAAAAACACAAAAAAGACAAAAAATTGAGGAAAAAAAACGCAGATAAAAAGAAAAGGAGGGAATTGAGAGAAAACAAGTGTAATTTATATTTTAAAACTGCATGCACAAGGCTGGGAAAGTCATATTTAGAATAACAAATGGCAGTGCCTTTTTTTTGTACTCGAGACATTTACCCCAAATGTAAATGGTTTTATATGGACGTTAAAAAGAGTGAAATGTTACATCAGCCGTGTTGACTCACGTTCACACTGCAGCTCAAAGTGTTGATGGGTTTTCTCCATGTTGTTATTTTCATCGTGATGTATGGTCGTGTGTTTTTATGCCTGATCACTGTGCCTTAACCCACTGACAGTCCATTTCTGAAAAATGAGTGAGCTCATGAATTCGTTCATCTGATCTTCCTGTTTTTATTGGTCATGGCAGCTGTACCCATGATACAATAATTCTTATAAACATTAAACTATAACAGTTTAAAAGACAAACTAAATTACTTCAGTGAGATGCTTCGACTTCACCCTGAGGATATTGTGCATTGTCAGGTTTTTACTGATCCAACGTGCTACAGGTGAAAATCCCAGAGCGATTACTGATCTTATGAAGATCAATGTGATCACCCGACATCATGAATCATTTGTTTCTCACTGTTTTTTTGTGATAATGTTGTTTTTCTTTAGAAATCATCCAACATTCGTTGAGTTCTCACAGAAGAAGATCGTCCTTGTGTTTCTTTAAAAAGCCAAAAACGTAAACTCGTTTGTTGTCGATGAACCGGATGTAAAATGTGTTCAAATTTAAAAACGAGCTTCAGTGTTTTTTAATGAATAAACCTTGAAACTATATTTTGGCTTTAAACCTTCACATCCTGTAATTAAAGCAGCTTCGTGTCTGACAAACTAAATGTGAAAATCTTCAATCTGAGCGTTGAAGCGAGCAGTGTGAACGTGAACGTCTGTGGCAGTGAACTCAGACTGAGCGACGGCGGCCGGTGGTGTTTCTGTATTCTGTAGGTACTTTTATTTTTAATGCTGATATGAAGTTATGAATTATTCTGGTCTGTACAAAAAAAAAAATGTGTGAGTGAGAGTTTGTGACAGTGAGGATGTGTGTGTGTGTGTTGGGAAAACGTTTGTGTTTTTATTTTAATGTCTCTTGCTGTAATTTTGTCGCGACAACCAGAATGCTGTGATTTGGCATGCCCCGTTATACATAAAGAAAAAAAAGTTGTAACTCCTCCGACGTGTCTGTGTGTGATTCACTGTCGACAGGAAAACAGGGTTCAGACATTCAGGTGGACTGTCAGGAAAAAGAATGGAAACCAAAATACTATAGATGAATTAAACAAACTCAGCGGTTTGTTTCAGTCTTCTAAAAAAAAAAAGTGTTACCTCTTTGAATTGATCTTATTTCTGAACACAGTTGTATCTCTAAAAATCTCATCTCTAAAAAAACTTCTTCTTAATGTTTTATCTCTAGAAAAATATTTTATTCTATCGTGTTTTATAAAGTTTGAGAAGAAACATGAAAATGATTCAAATGTGAAATCTTACCACCAGAGGGAAGTAAAGGGACATTCTGGAGTTTTCACACAGTTTATTGATCAAACTTTGACTTAAATAATATTTAACTATTGGTTTTATTGGTTGTGTTTTGATGTTGGAACGTCTCTTTTCTTCATGTGTGAATGATTTTTATTTTCTCTTCGAGCTTCAGTTTGTTAGATTCAAACTAAACCGAGTCTGTGAAGTGAGCACAGAGTTTCTGCAACTTCCATATGTGACATTTATTTATTTTTATGAAATTCAGTATGTGTGAAGGTTTTTACTTATCGTGAGGCTGCGATGTTTTCATTTGTTTGGAGCAGCAGCAACAGATTTTGGTTCAGATCTGATGATTCTGACTGAAACTCAATATAAACGCATTAAAATCCTCCTGCACATAAAACCTACTTTTAATTTAATTAATTCATAACTCGCAGAGGAAACATTCAATGCAGCAGGTTTTTCTTTTGATAAACGATAAAGTTGAACCACAGAAAAAAAGACAAGTTCAGAGTTTTTCTTCAGTTTATCACAAAACTGCAGAAAACACGTGAACGTGTTGTTACAAAACTCTGCTGAGTCATTCCTCTCGTCAGACTTTCCAAGTCCCCGACCGGCTCCTCCTCCTCTCTGACTCTCTCTCTGAGGGGCCCCACACCAAACTGGAGACGTTTCTGTTCTGCTTCCACTTCAGCTCAACACTTCTTAAGCATCTCTGCTGCATTTCTTGCATAAATCTCGTTTTTCTGTGTCATTTCACTTTGTGTTTTCTTGTGTTAATGTTGATTCAGAACCCACAGTATTGTTTTTCTTCTTTCTTTTAAGCATTCAGCTGAGACTCTGCTGCTTTTTTTTCAACTCCTCATATGTTTAAAATATTCATTGCTGCATCTACGGGAGTTAATCAGGCAGAACTAAGACTTTCAACTGTCCCCAACTTTGCTTTTCTGCAAATTCAACCAACGCTGCATATTTTCAGCTCGATGAATCAAAGCATTCCAGCAGCTCAGCGTTCACACTGCGTTTTCAGCAGGAAACACGTTTTCTAGTTTGAGATGAGAAAATAAAACGGTGACGTAACATTCGAGGAGAAGCTCAGTTTTAATGCAGATGTTGTGTTCACTCTAAACGTCTGTGTGAGGTTTTCTTTCCGTGTGGATTCTGTGTTTTCAGTGAACACACGTCAGCAGCATGTGATGAAGAATCACGCGCTCATCTTCACATACAGTAAATTTATTTTCTTTGATTAAAAAGTCTCTGAAATTAACACAGTACATAAAGTGACAATGATGGTGAAGGGGCCAAAGAAACAGGCCGACCTTCTCAACAAGGCCACAGATACGACAACATCTTCCCTCACACACACACACACACACACACA